TGTAACAATGAGTCTATGTTTATCTTTGTATCTAATATGATTTTCTCCTATGCATAACATGGATCCTGACTTTTTTCTATGGTTCTATTTTGGTTCTTTGTTTGGAAGCCCTCATCCAATCGGTGCTCAGGGGCAGTCCCAGCTGTGCTCAGAAGACTATGTGGTTCTGAGGATCAAACCTGGGGCTCCCAGATGCAAAATATGGACTCCAGTTCGTTGAGCTGTCCCCTAGTCCTGAACATCCTGTTTTCTTTTTATCCATAAAAACACTGTCTAGCTTCTGGAATTCAATTCAGTGTGATTACAGAGATCTGGGCTTGCCTTACTACTTCTACTCTAGCCTTTGTTGTCCACTGTTTTATATTTTTGTTGTTATCTTCAATGTTTTCATCTCCCTTTTAATTAAGATGCTTTTTCCTGGTGAATTTCCCAATTTTTTCAATCTTTCTTCCAAATGACTCTGCTCCAGATTTGTTTTGTGGGTACCCTGAGCACTGTATCAGTCTTACTACATCTAAGTTAGTGCCAGTATTGATTCATTGTCTTTCGAATAAGCACATTCTGAACTGCTCTTTCCTTTGAATGTTTTGTTGATTCACTTTATTGCTCATGTTTCAGATTCTTTTTTACTACTTAGCACCGTGCTCAAGGATTTATGATCTTTTGCCTTTTTCTGTGCTGTGAAAGAAAACCCCTTGCAGGATTTTGACAGGTAGGGCTGGTGTGGTGAACATCATTAATCCTGTTTATCCCTGAAAGTCTACTTGTCCATCATATTTGAATGATAGTTTTTCAAGGAAAACTATTCTATACTAGAAATTTTCATTTTTCAGAATTAAGAATATAAATGTTTCAGGGCCATAGAGATAGTACAGGGGCTAAGGCACTTGCCTTGCATACAGCTGACCCCATTTCAAGTCCCCGAGCACACCAGGAGTGATCTCTGAGCACAGAGCTGAAAGTAAGTTCTGAACACCACCAGTTGTGGCTCAAAAACAAAAAACACAATAGTTAAAGTTAAGTCTTTTAAAGTGTATTTATGAGTTGCCCACTCATTTGTCTAAAAATATCTTATTTTACTTTTGATTAACATTCTGCTTGCTCTACAAGCTTCATTTTCTTTATCTCTCAGCTCTTTTCAGCACTCAGTTTTTGTTCAGAGTGATCATTTCCAACTACACTGTCACAGGTGGTCAGTTTTCTGTTCTGGATGGAGAATTCAGACCCTCTTTCCATGCTGGTAGTAGCCTAGGTGACACCCTCTAGCCCTTCAGAAAGGCATAATTGGTCTGAATAGGTTTTATGTTTGTTGTAGTTTTAGGATCACACCCAGTGCACTCAGGGCTAACTCCTGGCTCTGTTCACTCCAGGCTCTGCAGTCAGGGATCCCTCCAGGTGGGCTGTGGGACCATATGGGATGCCAGGTACCTGCAGGAGGGGCAAGTGCCCTGACTGCTGTACTATGGTTCCTCTCCCTCCCCTCCCTTCCCTTTTTCCTTCCTTCCTTCCTTCCTTCCTTCCTTCCTTCCTTCCTTCCTTCCTTCCTTTCTCCCTTCCCTCCTCCTCTCCTTCCTTCCTTCCTTCCTTCCTTCCTTCCTTCCCTTCCCTTCCCTCCCTCCCTCCCTCCCTCCCTCCCCTTCCTTCCTTCCTTCCTTCCTTCCCTTCCCTCCTCCCTCCCTCCCTCCCTCCCTCCCTCCCTTCCTTCCTTCCTTCCTTCCTTCCTTCCTTCCTTCCTTCCTTCCCTCCTCCTTCCCTTCCTTCATTCCTCCCTCCCTCCCTCCTTCCCCTCCCTCCCTCCCTCCCTTCTTCCTTCCTTCCTTCCTTCATTCCTCCCCTCCCTCCCTCCCTCCCTCCCTTCCTTCCTTCCTTCCTTCCTTCCTTCCTTCCTTCCTTCCTTCCTTCTCTCCTTCCCTTCCTTCCTTTTTACTTAAGGGCACCAAGATTTACAGTACTGTTTCATGAATACAATGTTCCAACATCATGAGTAGTGTTTCTTGACCGATGAACTTGATCACTGAACTAAACAATTTAGCAAAAAATCAGTCTTTCTTTTTCTTTTTTTAAATTTAGGACACTGTGACAGTTTTTCTTTTACTGAAAAACAAAAGAAACCAACATTATGTTCTTCATATAAATATCCTAAATGGGTTTAGGAAGTTTTCAAAGTTCCAGAAATAACATTAAAAATAAATTCTCCAGTACACTCTTTCTGTGCTAGGAGACCACTCCAGGTGGCTCCGTGGACCATAGGCAGTGCCAAGGACAATACTGGGGTCGACCACTTTCAAGGAAAGAGTCTGGCTCTTCTACTATCTCTCTGGACACAATCTACATTTTTTTGTTATTAATTCAGCATGATATGCACAGTTACAAAGTTGTTCATGATTGAGTTTCAATCATACAATGTTCTAATACCTGTACCTTCACCAGTGCACATTTTCTGCCATCAATGTCCCCAATTTTCCTCTTCCTCATCCCCCCGCCCCAAAACCTGCCTCTATGGCAGACATTTTTCTTCTCTTTCCTCTCTCTTACTTTCTTTTAAGACACTGTGGTTTGCAATATTGTTACTGAAAGGTTATCATGCATATCACTTTCTGCATATTGAGTTAATAAATGAAGAAATGAGTTATCTTGAAACTGATTTTGTAAAGAGTTGTCACCACCTTAAGAAGACTATGTTCTTTCAAATAACTCAAAACAGAAATACAGAGAAATAAAAATGACTGTAAAAGCTTAAATGACTCCAGAGGCAAAATGACTTAATCCAGAGCCTGGCAGCTTGCGACAGAAAAGTGAATGGACCATTCGTTAAACTCTGGCGCCATGCCTCCCCGGGAGGGAAAGGGTTTTGCTCCCTTCCGCCTCCCCCTCTCCCCCCCACAGCAAGGTGGCCGCCGCCTCAGAGCTTATAGGAAAGCCAGGTATGAACCAGTGGTGACGGGGCAACTGCAGTCTCATGGGAAGAGGACAGTACCGGCTTGTCCTTCACGCCCTACTGAGGTCATGAGTTGCCTCTCACGAGCGGCTCTCTGGCACAGCCATGGCTCCCGAGGCAAAAGGACTTAATCCAGAGCCCGGCAGCTTGCGGCAGAAAAGTGAATGGACCATTCGTTAAACTACGGGGGGGGGGGGGGGGGGGGGGGGGGTGTGGTACCGGCTCGTCCTTCACACCCTACTGAGGTCACGAGTTGCCCCCCACGAGCGGCTCTCCAGCACAGCCATAACACAAGATATACAGAAACCAATCTTGTAATTATTTGGCTCTTTGCAGAAATCCAAAATCACTATATGATTCTCTTAACCAGCTATAGAAAATAAAGTATTTCACAATGCCTTTTCAGCAATTCTGATTGTTGGAGGGGGAGGGATTCTACACAATAATGGTGCACCTCTTGTCGAAATAATGAATGTAATCAATGTAGAGAAGAGTTAAGTAGAAATCATCTGCCTCACAGGCATTGAGAGGGGTGGGAGGGGGTATATTGGGGTTCTTGGTGGTGAAAAATGAGTACTGGTGAAGGGAAAGATGTTTGATCATTGTATGACTGAGACTTAAACCTGAAAGCTTAGTAACTTTTCCCACAGTGATTCAACAAATAAATATAAGAAGATAAATAATTAAAACTATGAAAAAAAGCTTAAATGAACATATCAAACAATACGAGAAAAATGTGATTAAAGGGGCTGTAGAAATAAAAAAGGGAGCACAAAGAGCTTGTCCTGCATGTGGCCAGCCCCACTTGATTCCCAGCAACACACGGCCCTTGAGCACCTCCAGGTCTCAAGCAAGTCAGCCCTAAGCAACACCACCTGTGGCCTAAGCAACACCACCTGTGGCCCAAACCCTCTCTTCACCCAAACAAATAATCTAAAAAATAAAAAAACACAACTCTGTGATTCCTCTGAAATTAAAAACAGGCTAAATTAGCATTTCAAAAACAAAGAGAAAGATGATTTTAAATATCTCAGAGATACTTTTGTAATAATTTTTGTCACATTTAAAGGCTTAGTGGGAGAAAAATAATATTCATAGCTCTACATTAAAAAAACCTGCAGAGAAATGTTTAAATTATTCAAAATGGAAGAAGAAAAGGGTCAGAAAGTTAGCTCAATGGGCTGAATGCATTTCAGAAGGCTACACCCGGCTCTGCACTCAGGAATTCCTCCTGGTGGTGCTGAGAGTGCATCTGGTGTTCCAGGATTGAATCCAGGCTGGCCATGTGCAAGGCATGTCCTATCCACTGTACCCACTGTTTTGCAGGCAGGGGTCCCAGCTTTGATTGATATCCTGGGCAATACCCAGAGTGAACCTTAGCACATAGCCCAGCAGATCAAGCACAGCTGGGCATGGCCCCAAAGCCAAGACCAAAAACAAACAAAAAAGGCAACATAAGAAGTATAAAAGAAAGGTGAATTGGTCCTACAAGGAAATCTCAGCTCTGGTTTCTCTAACAACAAGAGGAGTGCAAATGCCATCAATATTCTTTGTGGTATATTAGGAAAAAGAAGTAGACTGAATGCGGGGGGGGCGGGGGGGAGGGGGGGGGAAGCAGACCAAAGAATTTTATTATCACCTTGCATGAAGGACAAGTTAAGTGACTCCATATTTATATCTCCATAAGAAAAAGTAGAAATAGACAGACATAAGAAAAATTTTATTAACATGACTGTAAAAGCTATTAGTGTTGAAATAACATAGAAAAATTAAGTCATTTCTCTACTTTCCAACAATTTTAAATATAAAAATTACAAAAGCTTAAACTTTTTTGCCTGGATATAGGGCTTGAATTAGATTTCTCTTAATTCTTCTGGGTGCTTTTACCTGCTGTGCAAAAAATATATATGTAGGCATTTTCAATGCAGATTTTAGAGTGTTATATTTCTATGAATAGGGAATTTTTATTCTTTCAGTTACCAGACTTCTCAAGGTTAATGTACTTCATAAGACAGCTAATACCAACAAATAACAAAAGAAACAAAATAACAAAATAACATACCTCCTTTTCTCCCATTTCCAATTTGCACAGCAGGCTGAAGGCTTCTTTCATTTTGCAACAAATGAGGCAAATGATAATAAATATTTGGCACTTGAAGAGATTTTTTGCTTGTAAACTCCTTTAATAACGATAAAGTGGTATCTGAAACACACAAGTATGGTCAATCCATTAAGTATATCTTATGAATGAATGTTCAGATTTAAAAAAATACAGTAGTATGATTTTATAAGAACTGAAAACCAAAATATCTCTGAGGTTCCTATAGTAGAGGGGAGGGTACTACCTGTTTTCCTCAATGTATTTTATGGGTATGGTCTAGTCTCAACATCTTTATCTCACGTTCAATTAACTTTGTACATGGTGAGAGTTAGGGGAGTAGATTCACTTTTTTTTCCCCGCATGCATTTATCACGCTTTCCCAACATTTGCTGAAGAGGCTTTTTTGCTCCATTTCAATCACTCATTTTCTTTGTGATAGATTAACTATCCAGTCATCTGAGTGTTCATCTCTAAAATCTTGATTCCAGTCCATTAGTCTCCCTTTATTCCTGTACCACACAGCTTAGATAACTATAACTTTAGAGCATAGTTTAAAGTCAGGGAATGTACTACCACCCATCTTCTTTTGTCTCAAAATTGCTTTGGATATTCAGAAAATGTTATGATTCCATACAAATTTTAGTAGCATTTGTTCTACATCTTGAAGAATAGCCTATTAATTTTGATGGAGTCTGCATTGAATCTGTATAATGCTTTGGGTAGAATGGTCATTTTGATAATTTTTCAAATCCACTAACTGGAATATTTTCCCATTTCCTTGACTACTCTTCTATTTCTTTCAATAGTAACTTATAGTTTTCAAAGTATAAGTCCTTCATGCCCAGTCCACCATGTCTTACAATACTGTTAATGGTAGGGTTTCATGCACAATACAATCCATCACACTCCCACCTCTGCAGTGAAACTTCCCTTCATCACCCTTAATTTTATTTTTCCTCCAGTTTGTTGTCTGCATTTAGAAAGGCAACAGATTTTTTTTTGTATTCTTTTTCTACCATTCTATTTTTTATATTGGTTTACTGGAGCCTTTAGGGTATACTCCGTATAGTAACATGTAGCCTGCAAATAGTAATAGTTCAATCCTTTCCAATTTGAATCCCTTAACGCTTTTATTCCCTGACAGCTGTGCTTAGGCCAAGTGGAGAGAGTGGGCATTGTTGCTCTAAGTCTAGTCTCCCAGGAAGGCTTTCAAGTTTTTGCCACTGATATTTCACATGACATTTGCTGTGGATTTATTGTATACGGCCATAATTACCTTGACTTATATAGCATCTATCCCAATATTTCGAGGGATTTTAACATGAATGTATGTTCAATCTTGTCAAAAGATTTCTCTACAACCACCGATATGATTATATGATTTTAATTTTTCTTTAGTTGACATGGTGTATCACATTAATTTATTTGCATATACTGAACCATCCATGCATCTGTGGAATGAATTCCACTTCATCGTGGTATGTGATTCTTTTGATATACTGTTGGATTCACTCTGATGTAATTTTGTTGAGGATCTTACCATCAATGTTGATAAGGGCTATAATTTCCGTTTTCAGTATTATCACCGTCTGGCTTTGGTACTAGGATATGTGGAAGCTGTTAGGAAGAATTCCTACTTCCCTAATAAGTTAGAAGAGCTTGAGGAGCACATGCAGATAGTGAGTATTCTTTGAGGTTAGATAGAACCCACTAGTTCTGGGCCTAAGCTTTTGCTTTGGGGGAGATCTTTAATTACTGTTTCAATTTCCTTACTCTTGATAGGTCTGTTCAGGTTTTCCACTGCTTCCTTGATTCAGTCTTGGGAGACCATCAGTTGTATCACTTGTCATCCCGTTGATTATAGATTTGCTTGAACAGGCGCCAGTAACATCTCCATTCATCCCAGTCACATGATAGTGTAGTCCAAAGGTGTCTGCTCGCTCCAAGAACATAAAGAGCCTCAAACCGTTTGTTCAGGGTTTTGACAAAGAAGTTTGATCATTTCGTAGGTGGGCAGCCATGCATTCTTTTGAGGTCAAGTAGAATTCAGCTGGTAACAGCTCTAGTCTCTAAAGTGCATTACGTGTCCAGCCCATCTGATTTTTGACGCCTTGGCAAACAAGACAGTGTCCCAAATTCTTGATTGTTGATAGAGGTCAGAACTCTGGATTCCTTCTCTCACTAGGTGAAACATGATATTCCAAGCATAGTTCTTTCAATTCCTCATTGGTAGACCTGAACAGCATTCTCATCCTGTTTTCATAGGGCCCAGGTCTCTGAGGTGTATGTTAGTGCAGGAAGAACGGTGGAGTTGAAAAGACGTGTCCGGAACTGGAGGTTCTTCATCCTCTTAGCCACTTCTTTGATGCTCTTGAAAGCGTTCCATGCTGCTCTCTTCCTCCTGTGCAATTCAGGTGCCAGGTCATTTGTCATGTTGAGTACTTGAACTAGGTACACATAACTACTGCATTCTAAGATGTTCGTTCCATTGAGGGAAAATGGAAGGTCAGAAACTAGTCTGTTTCTCATGAACATTATCTTGGTGATATTCAGCTGCAGTCCAACCTTTCCACACTCACAGTCAAAGTTGGCCAGCATTTGTGCTGCTTGGCCGATATTTGGTGTTATTAGAACGATGTCATCAGCAAAACGGATGTGGTGTAGTTGCCAGCCCTCTGCCTTCATTCCCATTCCTTCCCATTTCAGTCATCACATAACATTCTCGAGGTGGCACTGAAGAGTTTTGGTGAAATGGTATCACCCTGTCGAACCCCTCTCTTTATATCAATGATCACTTCCTTGTAGAATGGTGAGATCCTGGTGGTGAATCTGTAATACAGCTCACAGAGGATCCTGATGTACTGTGTTTGAACGCCCTGTTTGTCTAGGGCTTCAATGACTGCTTCAGTCTCAACAGAATCAAAGGCCTTCTTTAAATCAATGAACATTAGCCAGAGCGGCATCTTGAACTCTTGCAAAGCTTCAATGAGCTTGGTCACTGTGTGGATATGGCCAATCATACTGAATCCTTTTTGGAACCCGGCTTGCTCGCATGGTTGTCCTTTGTCTAGTGTTCTGCCCATCCTATTAGGATGACTCGAGTGAATAACTTGTACATGGAGTACAACAAGCAGACTGGATGATAGATGCTGATGTCTCCTTTCTTGTACAGATGTCTCCTTTCTTGTACAACAGAACGTACCTGCTGGTTTTCCACTGGGATGGAACCCTGCATTCAGACAGGTAGTGTGTGAAGAGCTGAGCCAGTGTATTGACGAGTCTGGCAGCAGATTCTTCAGGTGTTTGAGTCTGACCTTGTCTATGCCAGGTGCTGTATGCTTCTTTACAGACAAAATGGCATGTCGGATTTCAGGAGGGAGAATGCTTGGAATGACATATCCATCCTGCGGAATTTGGTATGTGGGCAGGTGGACGTGGCTATCGAAGAGATCCGAGTAGAAGTTGTGGATGATCTTCTCCATTGTCCTTCTGGAAGATGTGATAGGTCCATCAGGAAGTCGGAAGGTAGTTATCTTGGTCATTGTAGTTGGTGAAGGACAGGCGGGCATTGTGAAGACTTTTCCCAGCTTCTGTCTCATCAGCCAGCACTGCTGCTCTTTTCTCTTTGAGGCCTTTCTTTATCGCTTCTCTGCACTGTTTTGAAAGCTCGGACATTCTCTTGTGATTGCCTGAGGCTCCCACCAAACCACGTTGGCCAATGAGCTCGAGAGTTTTTGAAGATAGGCATCTTTTTGTGACTCTCTCTCTCTCTCTCTCTCTCTCTCTCTCTCTCTCTCTCTCTTACTCTCTCTCTCTCTCTCTCAGCGTTCCTCGCACAATCACATATGTGCTGAACCAGTCGATTGTATTCTTTGTTGATGTTGTCAACAACGGCACCTTCCTAAATTGCTTCAATAGTGCCAAAGATCTCCCAGTTGGTGGTCGTTCTGGGAGTTCTCTTCTTAAACTTTGCAGTCCTTTCTCCCTGTTCCGTGAAGTAGAATTTCGCACAAAGGAGATGGTGGTCTGTTCCTGTTTAGAATTTTGGGATAACAGCAACATTGCTCAGGAAAAATCGTTGATTGAATATGATGTGATCAGTTTCATTGTGGAACTATCCACTGGAGATTCCCATGTCCAACATTTAGATTCGGCCTTCTGGAACTGTGAGTTACCATGATGGTCTTGGTCAACATAATGAACTCAGACAGTCTCTCACCCTGTTCGTTCCATTCTAGGCCGTGGGTCCAAACATGGAGTTCTTTAGGCAACCATCTCGGTTCTAGCTTAGCATTAAAATCACCGACAAAGGTCTTGTAGAATGTGTAGTCTTATTTATAGAAGAAGCTTCTATAAAGCTTCTATAAAACTTCTCCAGCTCCATGTAGAACTTCTCAATTTCTTCTTCATCATAGTTGGATGTTGGTGTGTAGAGGATGAAGACAGAAACTGCCGGCAATGAGCCACATCTATTCAAACATAAGCGTCCGATTCAGGATGAAAGGCATTCAAACAAAGCAATGCTCATGGCCAAGTTTGTTTTGATGAGGACACTGACACCACCAACGCCTCTACTGCTGCATGTTCCGAGGAACAGTTCTTCTCCAGTGTCAAAAACAGCGTGATGTGATGAATGCCTTCTCATCTCAGTCAATCCAATGACATCGTACATGGTCTTCTGCACTTCCACCATCAGGTCCTCAATGGATGCTTCCAATGCCAGCATATATGCATTAAAAGTGCAGATAGTCATTTTAGCCCTTCTTCATTTTGGCAGCCTCGTTTGGCCCTGAGATTTTAGCAGCCTCTCCTTGGTCGTCCTTCTCAACACTGCCATATTGGGGGATCTTCCAGGGTCAGGGGAATGAGGCCCATTTTTGTTACTGTTTTTAGTATATCAAATACGCCATGGGTAGCTTGCTAGGCTCTGTGCTGGTTCGCTCTTTGATGGTTAGCACCATTGCTGCCTTTTTGCCACAATAAGGAGGTGAACCATTGAGGTTGGTGGAACTTCCTATTCCTCAACTGAAAGGCCATATGATTTTGAAAATGCAGTGATTTTCTCCAGAAGCTTAGAAGCATAAAGTTGTTCACAGTAAGTT